AAAAAAGTAAAATGTCTTCTACAATAAAAGTCCCTAAGGACTCTCCTCCCCCAGAGAGTTCTAGAAGCACTATGAGCAGCCATCTTTGTGCTTATCACTGGCTAGGCAGTCTCCCTCCATGCTGAGGGTTCCAACCCCCATAGGACAGAAAGCAAACCATAGATCCTCCCACATGACATGCTGAGTTCACTACAAGTTTGGACTTGATGGTCTCACAGTTGTATCTTGAAGCAGAAAATGTCAGAATAGACACAAAAAGCTGATGTCTTGATTTTCAATGGAAAGATACTTCATTTTAATCCCTTATATATTCGGTATGAAGCTACACCTTTAACAGGGGATAGTATATACAAATTTAGTAATTTATTCTTAAAAAGATCCCTCACTTTGAGACATGAATTTCTGACCTTTTTCTAAATTCTGAATAATTAAAAGATATATGTAGTTTCTTCCTTCATCATTTTTCTCTCCAAGAAGATACTGTTGATTTGCAAACATAACTGATCATGAGATGATTTTCTGGTCAGGACTAATCAAACCTTCAAAGCAATGACATTATCACTAGCATATTGTTGAAGTTGCAGTTTTTCCCCAGAAAACCACACAAATTAAAACAAGAGAACCATGAACCTGAATGATTGCTGCCAGATGTCAACAAATGCCAACAAGTTCAGAAAGGGCTTAGAGCACAAGATCCATTCTCTATGAGGTATTGCAAAACTCCCTCCTGAGAGACAATGCCAAGCCAGAGACTGGCTGAGGTCTTTGGCTTACTTTTTCTTTTAAGTCTGTTTATGAAACATGGCCATGTGAGTTTTGGAGGCCCCAGTAAAAGGCCTGAAGAAAGAGTTACTTGAATACTAAACATTAGCCTTAGGGAAGAAAGCCTTCCATTCAAATTCCTGTCAAAATTAGTATGGGCTAAAGTATAAGCTTAAAGCCCACCAATGTTTCTTCCCCAAAAGCTTAAGCCCTATGTAAGAACCGCTACACTCTGGCTCCTGCCTGCCTCTTCGCTTTGGCCTATCTCCCTCCCCAACACCACCCTTTTACATTTCTACCCTTCAAAACCACCAGTACCTTTCAAATGAAGGTCTGATAATCATTGTATAATCATAAGGGAATCAGTTTAAAAGGTAAAAATAATTGCAAATAGAAATGTATCAAGAACTAAATCACCTAATCAATATTACCAGATCTGAAAGAAAAATATAGACCAAAAAAAAAAAAGAAAAATCCACTGAAGTTGAACTATATCTAGACCAAACAGATGTAATAGACATACACAGAATATACTATCCAATAGCAGAAATATACACATTCTACTCAGTTGTGCACAAGTCATTCTGAGGGACAGATCAAATGTCAGGTCACAAAATGGGTATTAACAAATTAAACTGAAAAGATTATCTTTTCTATTATCATTTCTAACCACAATGATATGAAATTAAAAATCAATAGCACGAAGAAAACATAGAAAATGCACAAATATGTGGAAATTAAACCACTCCTTAACAATCAGGTTTCAGCAGGGGTATATATATTGGGCAGATGGAACCACTGTAGTTGAGAAGCATCAGTAAAAATATAAGCCAGCAGTTGGGCAGTTGATAAGTTACATAAACCAGCACTCTGCTTCAGCATACAAACACATGGAATAGACGCTGTTAACAGAAAAAGCAACAGATAAAATACAATAACCACTATTCATTTACAAAAAAGGAAAACAATCAGCAAAGCAGTAATAGAATGGGAACTTCCTAAACCTTAAAAGGGTTTCCATGAAGAATATACAACCAATACCACACAAAATACTTAATACAGAAAACTGAATGCCTCTCCCTAAGATGAGGAAAAGGAAAAAAAATGTCTATTCATGACTTCTGTGCAAAGCAGAAGTTCTAGCCAGTGCAATACAGCAAGAAAAAAAGAAATAATAAAAGTCATCTCCCCATGGGAATAGAAGTAAAGCTATCTTTATTTATAGAAGACATGATCATCTAGGTAGGAAATTTAATGGCATCAATCAAGAAAGCTATTAAAACTAGTAAGTATTTTAGCAAGATTCCAAGACTCATGACTGATATGCAAAAACCAATTAAAAATTAAAATGCTAAGAGGCAATATCATTCACACTAGCATCAAAAAATATGAAACATCTATAGATAATATGAAATTATAATTAATCAAAAAATATCTTATGGGACTTTTTATAAAGTTATGAAACTGTCAGAAGAAATCAAGGAATACTTAAAAGAAGTGTGAACATACACTGTGTTCACTGGTCAGAATACTCAGTATTGAATAACTCAATTCTCAAACACCAGATTCAAGATGGCGGCCAGCAGGAGGCTGATGAAGAAGTTTGAAGAGATCCTCAAATATGGAATGAAAAACTTCCGTAACATCCAGGTTGCTGAAGCTAATTTATTGACTTGGCAAGGGCTTATTGTTCCTGACAACCCTCCACATGATAAGGGGGCCTTTAGAATTGAAATCAACTTTCCAGCAGAGTATCCATTCAAATCACCAAAGATCACATTTAAAACAAAGATCTACCATGCAAATGTTGATGAAAAAGGGCAAGCTTGCCTGCTTGTAATTAGTGCTGAGAACTGGAAGCCAGTGACCAATACCATCCAAGTAATCCAGCCCCTCATAGCACTGGTGAATGACCCCCAGCCTGAGCAGCCGCTCCGGGATGACCTCGCTGAAGAATACTCTAAGGACCGTAAAAATTCTGTAAGAATGCTGAACAGTTTAGAAAGAAACATGAGGATAAGCGACTTGTGGACTAAAATCTGCACAAATGATTCCAGCAAGTGTGAGCAGAGATGCCGCACAGTGCATTCAGACATTCTGTAAAGCAGGACTCTGTGGAAAACTGACGCTTGCCACCACTTGGCATTCACTTGTGGCAGTTAATAACTTTCTACAGTTTTCTTAATCAAAACTGATCTAGTAACCTGTAAAGAAAGGATTAAAAGTTTCTGATATTCTAAATATATATATATATATATATATATAACTCAATTCTCCACTCAAATTAGAAGATAGACGCAATGAAATAAACTCTAAGCAGGCTTCTATTACAATGTTTTTTGTTTTTTGTTTTGAGACAGTATCTTACTATGCAGTTCAGGTTAGCCTGGAACTCACTTTTTTTTTCTTTTCTTTTTATTTATTTATTTATTTAGAACTCACAGCATAGCCCAGGTTGGCCTCAAAATCACAATGATATCCTGCTTCTGCCTCTGGAGTGCTGGGATTACAGGCATGTGCCACCACACCTCGCTAGGCTTCTATTTTGAAATAGGTAAATTAATTATAAAATATAAATAAACAAGAGCTAGAAACTGTCATTTTTTAATAGAACAAAGTGAAAGGACTTATGGAACGATTCCAACACCTAGTACAAAGCTACATTCATCAAGACTGTGTGGTATTGCTATTAAAATAGACCAATCCCTTAAGCTGATTCACCAGCCTCTTCCTGATTAGCCTCCATCCCTATCCTTGTTTGGTGACTCTCCACCAGCCATATTAATCAAACTTGTGCTATATGCTGGATAGAAGCTTGAAGCAGAGATCAGTCTCAATCATCTTTACTTCCCCAGAGCATACCACAGTACAGGGTCCCACAGACTGTGTGCCACAGATGAATATATATATATATATATATATATATATGCTAAGAACTGGGCTGGATGACCTCTGACCCCACATGAGTTGATTCTAGGTTACTCCATTATAAAAAGTGGGCAGGTGAGTGATTAAGTGATCTCTATGGTACATTCTAGTAAGATAATCATTTCAAATCCCCTTGTGCATGAAGTTACAACTCTTGCTGTGAGTTTAAGGGTAAGATTCGGATTGTTTAAAAAGCCAGCTGGTAATTGACTAATATGAACTAAATGAAAGGTTGGGGAAAGGAAACCAAATTCCAGGAAAACCACAAGGCCCGTGGCAAATGCTAACACAGCCCCTAGGAGGCCTATTTCTTAGTTCTTTTCCAGGACATTTCTTATCCAGAAAGAGTCACCAGTGCTCTGAGTTGTTGCTTTCTCCCAGGCGGTTCTGACTTCACAAGCCAGGGGGGTTCAGAGCACTTTGCCTCTGTGAGTGAATCCCAGGCCCTCCTCAGTTTTGGTTCTTTGCCTCAAAACATCCTTAATAGCAGTTCTTATCCTTGGTCCTTCCCGGGGCCAGGCCAGTGTCTCTGAGGTTAAGAGAAAAATCTGAAACCACTAAACAGGAGATGCTCTTAACAGTAGTGCAGAAGTCACCTGACTAGAAAACCCAGCTAGCAATTTAAAAAGGAAAAAAATAATGAGAGCATGGCAGGCCACAGAAAGTTGGAGAAAGACACCAAAAACAATACAAAACAGAAACTGCCAGTTAAATCTGGCTACAGACTAAGCCTTTGTTCTTTCTGATTTGCAACTGAGAAGCACAGCACAACCCAACAACTGAACTCACAGAGTGAGCAGGCCGCTTCCGGGGCAGGACCGACCCTTTCTTTACTCCAAGCACAAAATTAGTTTTAACATACAACTGCTTTGGTGGAAAAGAGCCAACGACTGGGGAATTCATGACTGTGTGTCTCGTCGATCCTTAAATAAAAGGCTAGTTAATAAAAATCTAGACTCCCCGGCCTTTCCTACCCAAAAGTTCTGTGGCCACACGTCCTCGTGTCCGTCCGTCCGTTCCCC